GAAGAAGCATTTTCCACCACATCAGAAAAACTTGTTTTCGCAGTGGAGATGGCAGGCACACGGCATGCCTGCCATCTCCAAGTATGCACTGGTGTATGCCCGAAGGCGGCCGGTTGATCAACCAACTATGACTCATAGCAGACGTGACCGCGTACTCAAATAAAATCCAAATAGAAATGGATAACGAGCTTACACTCCTTAATATATTTATTAAGTATCAAAAAGTACATATGAAGATTTCGGATCAGAAACTCAATCGAAGGCGAACATAGGAGGTTATCATAGACGACAGGGGAAAAACAACAATAACAACAAAGTTGCAGACGGCCCTCCAAATGTTCAGGCATAGCGTAGCAGACGAACCGGTGGCAGTAAGCGACGAAGCGAAGGAAAGAAAGTAAAAACTAAGCCAAACAAGGCAAAGCAAAATACGCGATGGTTCGAACGTCAAGTACGCACAAGAAAGAAAAAAAGCAAAATAAAACATAAACGCAGGAGGAAGAAAGACAACGACGGCGTACCGTCGCCTCAAACATAAAAAGAAAGTAGACTTTGAAAAATGGAAGGAGGTGCACGACCGTCCACCGGGTGTTCTTTTTTGTAACTCCGCTTTTATTAGTTTCAGTAATAGCGTCAGATTGCACAATCATCTTTTCCCAGAGCATACTGACATCGCAGTAAGGTACGTGGTTCGAAATTGCCTTTTGCTTCTTCATCCAGAGACGATCGGGGTGTAGCCAGCTCGCCTATTCGACGAAACGGTTGTAAGCAATACAATCGTGAGAAATTGAAATTGCAACAACAAAAAAACAACAAAAAAACTGATCGATATGCACAGTAAAGTTGAAACGTAGCAATGTTCTTAGACGTTTTTTACATTACCCCTTGCAAAGAAAGACGGCGAAGGTACATTCGTGTCTTGCCTGGCAGACATAAGTTCCGAGTCTTCTGTCGGAATGTTTTGTTCGGGAGAGCCCGAAAATTGCACCCTACAAGCTGTAACATCTTCCCCTCGCGAAGAAAATATCCTTGACTCATGAGGTGGAACCTACTTTTTAACATTCAAAGCAGCGAATACCCGTGACCATTTTTTTTTCGTTGCTCACCTTGCACGGAGATAGGCAAAACCAATGCATTGTGGAGAATTCGTCTGCTAGCGAATACTCCGAGCTCGCCAGGGGCGCTGCGATTGCTTTTCGCCCTCGATCTGCGGGAGTTGCCAGTATTGGCTTACATAGTATTTGCCTGTACATTCCTAAGGACAATTTAGTTTGCATTAGGGATGTCGCGAACCACCCTAGGTTCGATTTCGAAAGGTTTCGATATTTGCGAAGCGAACTGAGGTTCGATTTCGAAAAATTTCGATATTTTCATACCGACCGAGGTTCGATTTAAAAAAATTCGCAACTTTTGACCACAGCGGAGTTTCGAATTCGAAAATTTCGAAGCTTTCACGGTTTCCAAAATTTCGAATTCGAATATTTCGAATATTTTTTACTTCAGGTTCGATAAATTCGAAGATCTCGAAATTCTGTGTAAAAAAAAAAATTCGAAAACTTCGAACACTTCGAATTTTTATAGACACGAAGTTCGAACAATTCGAAGATTTCGAATTTCTTTTTGCATAAAGTTTGAAAAGTTCGAAGGTTTCGATTCTCTTTTAACGCTAAATAAAAAAAAAAAAAAAACTGAAGATTTTGATTTTTTTTTTTAGTCCAAGTTTTCAAAGTTCGAAGTCCGATTTTCAAGTTTTTCCACAGTTTCAGTTTCAAATAACGTTTTCACGACTCACTGGCTTTCATGAAATCAAGTTTAGAAAAGTTAGGGTGTGATATCTAGATTCTGGGAAGTTGGTGAGCGTCCCGGACGTGCTAGAATATTTGCCAGTGCAGAATTGTGACCGCCAGCCCGGGGGGGGGGGGGGGGGGGGGGGGTCTTTAACCTGCATCACGCAGTAGTGATTGCACGAACACACTGTTTTACGAGACTCATCCAGTTCGAAACGGCCAGAACGAGCAGGAGGTTGAGGCTCAGAAAAACCTTGAAGCGACCTGGCAAACTACCTCGCCACCCCTTGCACGCTGGTAGTAATCCGATCCGGTGAAGTTTATAATTGTCCTGGAGGTTTATTTTCTGGGACGGAGGAATCGCCTCGCAAAAAGCACAAAAGCCGACACAACTCGAGGTCGAGGAGCGTTCTACCATACAAGTGGCGTCGGAAGAGGAAAAAACGGGGGGAAAGAGGGTAGCGGGGGGGGGGGGGGGGGGGGGGGGGGGGGGCTTCAGCCTCCTTTTTCCCCTTGCAGGTATTTCGAACTGTTAAAGAAAACAATACGGGGAAAGAGTGCGTGGTCGAGCTTATTTTGATCTGAAATTATTTATGCATATGTATGGCTACTGTCGCTCTTCACTGCATAAAAGGTTGCGTGGATGGTCATTGTTAGAAACTCGTTGTCAGAAGGCACTGCTCGTCACATGCTTAGTGGTTCGGAAGTTCAAAGCTGTCTTTTCGACCTAAACACCTGTGCCAATAGTAACAAAAAAAAAAAAAAAAAGAATAAATGCGGGAATAAAAAGCAGGAGAAAAAAAAAAAACTATCAAGAATTCGTCGGAAGTGTTCTATTCTTGCATATTCAGAAATTCAGAACTTCGAAACAAGTCTCTTTTACCAAAATCTGTACAGGCTAAAAGAAACACGTCCCAGGAACGTGAAGCGAAAAAAAAAAGTTTTCTTTTAGTGACGTGCTGAACTTGAACACTATTAGAAATCTTCTCCCATGAGTTAATTTATTCCTTAACGTGAAAAAACAATAAATATATTATTTCGTATTCTGCAGATGGCAATGATATGTACTGTCTGTGGTGTTAATTTAAATGCGATACCTCAAACAACTTAGACGAAAATAAATATCAAGTTTAGGTTATAATTGCATGCAGATACATGTTTGGACATTTCTTCGAAACTCACGTTGAATAACAATAATCACATCTTAAGACGGCACTTACCTAGGCTATACATAGATCATTCTTAAAAAAAGTATAACATATCTACCATAAATAGCTCCGGCTGCAGCGTGCTTCAAATCTGGCACAAACGATAATCGTCAAAAACCCGTCGTCCTTCCTAGCCCCTTCGGGGATTTATTTCTTTAAACCTAAGCATGCCAGAACATTGAAATAAACGACATTGTCTTTCGTAAGGAACGCAGCACCGCGTGTAAAAGTTCGAGAAAAAAAAATTACGAATGTACCCCACTACTTGAAATCAAATGAAACCGTCCGCCGGTCTTTCGAAGTTCGACGAACGTCGAACTTTTACCCTAAAAGTTCGAAGTTCGTCGAACTTCTGACTTTTCAGAATCCGAAAGTTCGAACCTTTTCGAATTCTCTTGATAAATAAGTTCGAAAGTTCGAAATTCATCGATTTTTTTGGTCAGTCAAGTTCGAAAGTTCGACAAGCATCGAACCTTGCAGCGCAATAAGTTCGAAAGTTCGAAAAAGATCGAATTTTTTAGCGTAATAAGTTCGACGGTTCGAAAAGCGTCGAACTTCTTAGCTTAACAAGTTCGAAAATTCGACCTCCGTCGAATTTTACGATATAGACAATTCGAAAAATCGAAATCTTTCGAACCTTTCGAACCGCTTGATTCGATCATCGAAACTTCGATTCGAAAAAAGTTCGCGGCATCCCTAGTTTGCATACCTGCATCCCACATACTCCTCTCTGCTGCCTTAACTGTCCTTTTTGGAGCTATTCTCTGTTTGCACGCTTGTACTGGGGCGGCCTACAAGCTGGTGGAATAGGTCCATCTGCATGCTTATTTGTTAGCTGGACACTGTCTAGAGACATCCTGGCTGCGTCCACTTGACCCCCCTGCTCCTTTAAGCGGTTGTAGAGCTGAGCATGGCTCTGGGGAAGTCCCTTCAAGTGCTGCAGATTGTTCTCAAAAGGAAATGTGCTAAATGCATCTAATGGTCCTTGATTTCGTACATCAGCTGCGAGATGCGACACACAGTGAACATTGTATGACACCTTTTCATCTCCATACAGCTTTGCAAAAGTCCTTACGAAGTGGTGGTGAAGAGGCTCCGCATGATAAACATATTGATGACTTAAGCTGGGACTTGACACAAGAAATGTATCACAGTGCAAAGGGAGGAAGTTCATGTAAAGGCCAGGGTGAAGGACAGACTTCAACACTGCCGGCCCAGTGTAAGGTAATAAAAGTCTGAACTCCATCGCTTTCCTGCGGTCAACCTCCGTTGTGCTTCTTGGTTTGCGAGCAAAATCTTTTGGCACTTTTGTAACCAGAGAGGTTCAATTTGGACAACTGTCTTCGGTCTGCGGAACCGAGACGCACATGCAAGGGATCGCCAAGCCACAAGCTAAGCAACTTCTTTGTTACCGCAAGGAATAGTCGGTGCATAGATGATTGTGATAATTGGTAATTCTGAATTTTTGGTGTTACGAATGCTTCCTGATCAAGGAACTCACGCTCTTGCACATATTTGCGTCCACCTTCTTGCGTGAAACTCAATCCTTATGAATAGGACACTTCATGACAAGGATATTGTCACAGGTTCGATGAAAATTAACAATAAAAAATCCAAATTATATCCTATGCAAACAAATTTATAATTGTGATAGGACAGCTGATCGGACGATAGGTCCACGCCCTGGTGACGGACACACGGTGAGGGGAGAAGGAACAACACAGACTCTTTTCTTTTCAACCACAAGATGGTTTACTGAAAATCCGATAGACAATCCATAAAACAAAACAAACAAAACTTCCGACAGCAAGACACAACGGACCGCCCCACAGAGTAAGCGCTGAGGCGCGACTTATCTTGTATGATAATATCTGTACATGAAAACACAGCGCTCGGTCGGAAAGAAATTTTTCTGGAATCTAAGCACTTGCCCTCAAATTAAAAAAAAAAAAAACTAAAGGAGGGATAAACTATACAAAGTAATATGGGGGTGAGTGGTGCGAACCTGAGTCCGGTGGGTGATGGGGTTGATGCGGCCTCTTGCGATGCCGACCGAACTCGGGAGGTCGATGTGCGCTTGGGTGCTGTCGGCGTGGCTCCTCGGCACAGGCACTCACTCACCCATGAACGCACACACACTTGGGCGCCTAAAGCAGCGCTTGGACCAGGGAGCCCAAACTCCTCCCGCGCTCAGCCTTCCGTCGCTACTGCAGTCCCGCCCAGACTTCGCGTTGCGTTCACCCTCCGGCCAAGTCTTCGCACACACTGCCTTGACTCAGCCACTCGGCTCGGAATCAAGCCGAGGTCCTCACTTTCCCAAATTCCAGCGGCAGACACCACTCTTCCTTGCCCAAAAAATAATTGTTTCTCTGCAGCGGCAACAACAAAATACATATAAAAAAAAACACACGTCACATCGGCCAGCCCCACAGTGAGCCTACCCCAGCGAACCATAAAGCGCACCCCCGCTCGGACATCTGGAAGCTATTCCGAACATTCCGGGAAGCGAGTCGGCCCATTGCCTCCAACTAACAACCCTGCGAGAAACGTCTTCGGGACGGGGGGGGGGGGGGGGGGGGGGGGGGGGGGAGGGGAGGGGGAGGGGGGGGAGGGGGGGGAGGGGGGGGGGGCAAGGGGCCATAAGACAGAAAGCGGACGAGGCCCGAACTCTCCCGCTCAACCGACGAGGGGGCCAGGGGTCATAAAACAAAAAGTGGACGGGGCCCGAACCCTGCCGCTCAACGTGCGGGGCATTGGAGCTTCCGACGACCAAATGCGCTCCCTTGCAAAAAGTTTAACAAAAGATTAAAAAAAAAATAGTCGAATTCTGTGACAGATATCTATTTAGACTGCAGACACCACAGAGAGGCCAGTGGCCCCTGCCCAATTCTACTAGACTACGGATAAAAGGCACAGGTTACATTCGGGTTGATGAGGAAGACGTCAGCCATCCGCCTCACGTTTCTTGCGAGGTGGCGGTTCTAGGTTTCCATGCCCACAGCCTGGAAGCCCCGTGCTCTCGTCCGTGCGGTCCACCCCGGAAAAACACGTAACAACAAGGAAGGATTTCTTACGTCTTCTTTATTCCTCGTCTCGACCCTGAATGCCCCTGCGCCTCCCCCCCAAGCTGCGCCCTGCCGGCGCGTGGCGCTGCCGTCGGGCGCCTTGCCCTCTGCCGGCGCAGTCAGTGTGGCGGCAGCCACCACACGGTTCATCAGTAGTCTGTGGCCCTCAGCTTTCTGGTTGACCCAGCACCTTCGCAGCACCTTGAACACGAAAATGGTGCTCGCAATGCTCCGCAGGTGCTCCACAAGGACCTCTGAATAAGTGAACAAGTTGCAGTGTCTGAATTTCGTGGTGTGTGGCCACTAACACGAATATGAGGTCAAAAATACCCAACGTACCAGGATGTTGCCTACGATCACGTCCGGTGGCTGGCTGTTCACCAGGTCGTGTCCTCCAATGTACAAAACTGGAAACTTCAACTTCAGTCGCCACCGTTGCACCTGCCTGAGCAACGACGCTGTGGTGCCTTCCCCTACACTAAACATACACATACGCACGCCAGATGCGAATTGCAGGTGGCGTACGCTGAACCGCTTCCTCTGGATATCCCCCAGCAAGATGCCGTCCATGTCGCAAACTGCAGAAGAATGGCAGCGACGAGTGCAACGGTGCAATATGCAACTGACGACGCAAAGAAATGAATGAATTGGATCTTATTTCGGCAGATAAACAGATCAATCCTGGATCGTCCACCTATTTTGTTCAATGTTGCCAATTCATGCCGGAACTTGCCCCAAGAACAGCTATCGTTTTGAAATTATTTATAAATTTGTCGTTTCCATGTGTTATATTGTTTTAGGACAGTTCAGAGCAGATAGCTATGGACCTATATTTCTATATTATACCATCTTTGATGACAAGAAAGCCACATAAACACAAATCCTGTTTTTTTAGATTTCCATTCTTTGTCAAAAATTTTAGTTCTTGAGCATCAAAATGACAAAAAAAAAATACTAGCTCATAGCTATCTCCCCTTAAAATTTCACCCCCAAAAAATAAAAAAAAATGAATCCAAGTTACATAATAACAGAACGATAGTTTTCCTAAAGTGAAGTTTATGCCAAAAAGTGGAATAGAGAAAAATGTGTTCAAAATGCTCCAACCTCTAGCTTTCCTTTAGCATCGGTGGCCCGAAAATAATTTATAAGAAATTAACTATGCAGTGTAGGCTAATGAAACTTTCTGGGAATAATCTCTTGATGTTGGTGAATGTAATTATGACATTTTTCAAAATCAACTTTTTTTGCAGAAATGTTTTCTGAATGGTGTCCCCCCTTAAAACTTGTGTGGAATGGTTTTTGACTATGCGTGTGTTTGTTTTCCTAGATAAGAAAGCTCACTCCTGTTTTTCTTCCATCGTTATACTACAGTGTGGACCTGACAGATTAAAGGCATTTTTAAGAAAACGTTTAAAAATCTGACACCTAGGTGATGGACGTGTTTTTTTAGAACATAAAAAGAAAAACCACTTTCCTCAAACAAAGTTCATAAATAAAGGCGCTAAATGTTTTACGGACCTAGAGCGGAGGCATTTAGGCCGTCTTTATGCCATTGAGAAGAAAACGTTCATGTGGGGCACTGGGCCATTTGATTGAACTAAAGGTATAAAAGGGAGGCAAGAAGAATTTCTCGCATTTGTTTTAAGCTGAAATGCAAATTTCCAACGTACCAGTTCCCACTTGACCAACACACTCCAGTTCGACCACATGGAGACTGGCAGACCTTTACAGCACCAGCAAAATCCAAACCTCTTGACATCATGTTCGTCTCGAACCAGCATCATAGGCTTCGACCATAAAACCGTAATAACAAACACATACCATAACCTAACTTATTCGCAAGCGCCAGCAGATCCCACAACCAAGACATGCATTTAGAAAAGCAAGCAAGCCATCTGGCTCGAGACAATGATGATCAAGGAGACCCCTAACGCTTTCCAGCAACGGGCCAAACCAAGAAGCACAGTGAAAGCACGTGAAGCCTCGGAAGAAAGCAGCAATTAGTGAAAAGGTAGCCATGATGGCAAGTCACGTGGATCAGGCAGTTTAATGAGAGTGAGTTTATGGCAGTTACAGATAAAGGTGCGAATAGAAAGAATGCAGATAGGATGAGGAAGACCATGTTCCACCTTCCAACAGAGCACACAACCATCTCTGATCTTCATGTCCTATACTCCGTGCGACCACAATTTGGAGCACGGCCGACTCCATCAGCAGGTGATGCCAATCCGGCGCTGAGACCATGTCACGTGACCTGCCGTTTTCGTGCGGCGTCGCGCGTAGCACACATTCACACGACGCGATTACAGCGCGTCATTGCCTGTGATGGTGCACAGCATCTGCCATGCTGGGACTTATGGTGGAACGGAATGTGGCAGCACCCACTATGCTCAGTCATTAGTGAAGTCATAAGTCTCTGGTTCTACCGTAAAGTCTACTTGACGAGCTGAATCCCACTACTCTCAGCCTGACCTCCATCTCCTTTCCCTGCACCTCCTGCTTTTCTCTTTCGTGTCTCTTTATCTCGGCCTCATGCAGCTTCTCCCTCTCTTGCCTCTATATGTCCTCCCTTTCCCTGTCCTCCTACGGCTGTCGTTTCTCTACTACCTCAGTGTGTGCTAGGTCCGTTATCTGACGGATGAAATGCAGGTGTCAGTGATTGCCCATTCGCTGCATGAACAAACGAATGTGTGCCAGGGACTGTGCTATCTCTTCCGTGTGCTCTGGAGGGCAGTCTGAAATCCTCTGGTTAGCAGCGGCAGCCCTCAGGACCTGCTCCACTGGTGTTTCCACCATCCATGGACCTCTTTCGCTTTACCGACCGAACACCAGCAGGCCGAGGCACATGTCGCGGCGCAACAGGGGGCTCGGTCACTTCCTTCACATCCGCAGAGGTTGGGCTTGCTGGATGTGTAATCTCTGGTCCACGCTGTGCAGCCAACTACTACCTCATCATGTGCTAGGTCCCTTACCTGACGGATGAAATGCCGGCACCTGTGAACAATCATTCGCTGCATGAACGAATGGTTGTGTGCCAGGGACTCTGCTATCTTGTCCGTGTGCTCTGGAGGGCAGTCTGAGAACCTTGGGTTAGCAGCGGCTGCTCTCAGGACCTGCTCTACTTGTGTGTTTCCACCATCCATGGACCTCTTTCGCTTTACCGACCGAACACCAGCAGGCCGAGGCACATGTCGGGGTGCAGCAGGGGGCTGGGTCACTTCCTTCACATCTGCAGGGGTTGGGCTTGGTGGATGTGTACTGTCTAGTCCATGCTGTGCAGCCAACTACTAGCTCATCATGTGCTAAATCCCTTATCTGACGGATGAAAGGCCAGCGCTTGTGAACAACCATCCGCTGCATGAACAAACAAATTTGTGCCACGGACTCTGCTATCTTGTCCGTGTGTTCTGGATGGCAGTCTGAAAACCTCAGGTTAGCAGTGGCTGCTCTCAGGACCTGCTCCACTGGTATGTTTCCACCATCCATGGACCTCTTTCGCTTTACTGGCCGAACACCAACAGTGGCCGAGGCACATGTCGGGGCGCAGCAGGGGGCTCGGTCACTTCCTTCGCATCTGCAGGGGTTGGGCTTGGTGGATGTGTACTCTCTGGTCCACGCTGTGCAGCCAACTACTACCTCATCATGTCCTAGGTCCCTTATCTGACAGATGAAATGCCCGCACCTGTCAACAACCATTCGCTGCATGAACAAACAAATGTGTGCCAGGTACTCTGGTATCTTGTCCGTGTGCTTTGGAGGGCAGTCTGAAAATCTTGGGTTAGCAGCGGCTGCTCTCAGGACCTGCTCCACTGGTGTTTCCACCATCCATGGACCTCTTTCACTTTACTGGCCGAACACCAGCAGGCCGAGGCACATGTCGGGGAGCAGCAGTGGGCTCGGTCACTTCCTTCTCATCTGCAAAGGTTGGGCTTGGTGGATGTGTACTCTCTGGTCCACGCTGTGCAGCCAACTACTACCTCATCATGTCCTAGGTCCCTTATCTGACGGATGAAATGCCGGCGCCTGTCAACAACCATTCACTGCATGAACGAACGGTTGTGTGCCAGGGACTCTGCTATCATGTCCGTGTGCTCTAGAGGGCAGTCTGAGAACCTCGGGTTAGTAGCGGCTGCTCTCAGGACCTGCTCTACTGGTGTGTTTCCACTATCCATGAACCTCTTTCGCTTAACTGGCCAAACACCAGCAGGCCGAGGCACATTTCGGGGCGCAGCAGGCAACTCGGTCACTTCCTTCACATCTGCAGGGGTTGGGCTTGGTGGATGTGTACTCTCTGGTCCATGCTGTGCAGCCAACTACTACCTCATCATGTGC